ATATCATGATTCCCTTTTATTCCAGAAGATTGGTCCTTAAGGGGTTAAAGAAAACTAGAGCAGATAGGAAGAAATGAAGAACGGATCCTGAGAGAGGGAGAGAAGAGGAATCAATTTTAAAGAAAGGAAAGTTCGGCACGACAGTGCCGCTTTAATATATAAGAAAATTAAAAAAAAAAATCATATCTCAAAATAATATCAGGGGTGCACTCTCAGGTTTTGTGAATGTAGATAATGATTTTAATAGCAAAAAGTTACATCTGTAATACGATCAACGTTTCGACCGCTAAGGGTCTTTTTCAAGATTTTGAAAATGACCCTTGGGGGTCAAAACGTTGATCGTATTACAGATGTACCTTTTTGCTATTAAATCACTTTCTACATTCACAAGACCTGAGAGAGCACCCCTGATATTTTGATATATATACACAACGCGGGTAGCACCTAGGCCATATTTACTATAGAAAGAGACCAGGAGAGTGCCAAGCTGAATTACCCATTAGGTGACAGAGAAGGCTTCCTAGTTTTGAGCCCTAGGAAGCCTTCTCTGTCACCTAATGGGTAATCTGGCTCACCTGGTACCCCTGGAGTACTTAAGTATCAGGTCACTTCCACATTGTACATGATCTTTTACTGCTCCATTCTAGCAGGTAGGAGTAGAGAAGAAACTAGGCTGCAATGTTATCAATGTTAAGTATAGTACAGCCATTCAATTATTGCTGTGATAACTGTACTTGTGGACGTGTACAATTGTACATATGACAATTGTTTTAGATAAAACAATAATGTATTGAATTATATAAAAATGTATTCAATGGTTAGACTGTATTTGCACCTGTTCTCTTCACTAGTTATTCAGTTTGTGGATTGATATTGCTGTGTGGTTCCAAATAATTTTTTATTTCTGGTTTTATTTTCATTGAACTTAAGATAGAAAGTAGTAGAATAAATACTTTATCAATTTTAACTGAATATCCAGAGGGATCCTGATTTGCACATGGATGTCCATTAAAGTAATTTAATATATGCATCATTTATTATTAAGTGCTTGTCCTGGTGAATTAAATACTTGCGTAATTAAGGTCTGCATCAATCAAAGGTTATTGTAGATGAAATTTCATCTATTACTTCTGCCATATCAGTGGTGTAAATATAGAATATGTCCTCTGCTAAAGACCATTCACCAATTATGTTGCTTGAAAATTTTTATTTATTAAACTTGTGAAAAAAAAAATGTTTGGCTGGTTTGTCAAATCAAATTACTTTCTTTAATCCACTTGAACAAATGTATCCATCTTGGGTTTACCTGTGGAGTCTTATTAAAATTCCCCATATTCAGGTAAATCCAAGATGCATCGATTTTAGTTTGGGTGTGGAGAGAAGCTGGATTTTTAGTAGAAGTGCAATTAACAAAGTTTTGGTAGGGGAGAAGCAAGCTGTGTGTGTGTGTGTGTGTGTGTGTGTGTATATGTATGTATATATATATAATATATTTTGTCTGGAGACCTACCTGGTTTAAATATTTTGCCTTTTAATTCTACTCGGGCAGTAGGTGTTAAACTTACCCTAAAGTAAGGTGAAACAATGCAGGTAGGTGCTAAACAGGTGTATCCAAGCCCAACTGTGAAATCAATCACCCAATTCCACCTAAAAACAATAGATAATAAATACATATAGTGGGTGGCACACACAGTAATGAATCACAAAAAATGTGTACAGTGATATGGTGAGTAGAAATACAGTATAAATACCCTATATAGCTTCCTCTTAATAGTAGCTGGAAGAGATAATAGTTAATATAGGGCAGTACAGCCTGTATAAGATACAGTGGCGGATCCAGAGCCGGATCTTGGGAGGGGCACTTGTAGATTAAAAAAAATAATCCATGCACAATAATCACTACAGCTCTATGTAGTGGTTATGGTGCCAGGAGTGCCGGGACCCCCTCCCAGAATAAGTAGTCAAACTGGGGTCTGCTGGGATATGGGGCTGTAGTAGGGCATAGGAGCAGTGTGTCTGTGTGGAGGGTGTAGTGTAGGGTGTGTGGGGCTGTGTGTGTGGCAATGTGTGTATGGGGGCAGTGTGTGAATGCATGTATGTGTGTGTGGTGAAGAGGGTTGAGAAGATATATAATTTTTTTATTTCTCAACATAATATATATTTATGTCCCCCCCTCCCTTCTTACCTTTACTGAGGGAGGAAGGGGGACATTTCTCGATCCCTGGTGGTCCGTGGGGAATCCCTAGTGGTCGCAGTGGTGAGAGTGAACTCTATCCCGCAGCTCCAGGGCTCAGCCAGCTGTGCTCCCTGGTCCTCTTCCCGCCCCCCCACCCCCTTCTGGCTGCCCACACAGTGCCTGCAGACCGGGAGGGAGATCTCTGATCCCCTCCAGTTCCGTGAAGGCACATTGCCAGGCTGGCACCTGGACAGCACTAGCCCTGCATTAGCCGACAGGGCCCCGTTGACAGGGCCCCGTTGACCCCCTCCCCCCGGATCCGCCAGTGATAAGATATAGAGTGCAGGTACTTATACACATCCAACTCACATTTGAGCCTGTAATACACTGGCTGAGGTAAATCCGCATGAAAGGATTAAACTTGATTCTGGATGCAGTCTTGCAGAAATATTCTCTACAATATAGGAATAAGAGAAGGCTCCAAGTTAAAGACATCCAATTTCATATAACACACATAAAAAAAACTTACATCAAGAAGGTGCCTCTAGCAATAAGTCCTTCCTCATAAAGTCCACACACCACACGTTTCAACATATAGTCTTAATCAGGTGTATGGTGTACTTTCCCCACCCTCCTTTTTTTTTATATCAAATATTGGTGCCATTCAATAATGTAGCTCCGCCCCTGAAGTCCACCATTGGCCAGATCATTACTGGCACTTAAACTCTGCCCACTTCAGTTGCAGCAGAGATGTTAGTCATTCATGGTGTTGTGTGTTAACTTCCTGGTGTCTTACCCACACCCAAGTTACTCCAGCCACCACCATGTTGTAACTTAATTTACTGGCATAACATCACTTCCTAGCGTGTATCTAGGTCCATAGTACACGTAATCTTATAAGGCAGGGGTAGTCCAGCAGCCATTTTAGTTAATGGCAAAACATACAATTCACATTAGGAAGAAAGAGAAAAGATAAGAGTATAAATATTCTTATACAAGTGTGTGTATATATATTACAATAATCCCATTAATACTATGTACCCATAAATTCCTTACAAATATTTGCAGAAATATAAAATACCCTGCAAGAAAACACACTAAATGTAGTTCTGTACCTCAAAATCTATATTGAGCCCTTGGGAGGGATAGTGTCTCCATCTCACCCACTATATGTATTTATTATCAGTTGTTACACTTACTCTGCTTTTCTTCTGCCTTTTTGTAGACATATATAATGCTAAGAAAAGATATGAGACCTTTGAGAGTGGTCAAAAATGTTGGATAAACCACTCTGGGCTCACAACAGTTTTTGCTCTTTTATGCCATTTACATAGAGAACCTGTTTTTTGACTCAAAAATGCTATGTTTTTTTAGGACAGAGATGGATACAGGTTTTAAGTGATGACATAAAATTGAACTTTTTATAGTAGGATTATTTATATTTCTTTTTTATTATTGGTATTTCAATTGTTAGGGCTTAAACCCAGTGGCTGTGTGGATAACCTTGGGAAACACTAGTGACTTTATTAATTTGTTCATTTGTTACATCCTTCCCTGACTTTCCCTGATATGGTCACTGTTTAATTTAATCAATTTCTTTGTAAAGGATGATATTCCCACCTGGTTAGCTAAAACCTGAGTAAAACTACTGTTGTAAAGAGAACTCAAGGGGCAGCAGAGTAGGTTTGCTACTTTTTTGTTTTCCCTCTCATGTATGTGTGCATTTTTGCATTGCAAATTAAAGGGACTTCTCATTTCTGTTGCCATGTTAGGGTTAGCACAGGGAACAGGCATTTTTGCATCTTGTACCTTCGGCCCTGTTCTGATATTCTGTGACTATTACTGATATTCTGCAGTTTTCTTTTGTGCAGTACTTTACTCGGATTTCAACCTATCTGATGGGAATATCATCCTTTACACAGAAATTATTTATTTAATTTAAATAACGACACCTAGTGACAAGTTTGGGGAATGTCCAGGAGGGATTATCAACTCTGAAAATTATCTGTATATTTAAAGTTTGGGATTATTTATTTTCTTCTTTTTTGGTTTTGAACTCAATTATCAAGTGACTATTAGTTTTATGACTCAAAAATGCTCTAAGATTATTATGACATAGATACCGTTTTTATGCTCTAGGGCTAATACTTTTTAAAGAGGAGCAAAGAACATGTCATAACTTGATATGACTGTAATGTAATATGCATAATGACAAGGATTTAATTTTCTTCTTCATTGTATGTATTTTCAGTGGCTTTTTTTTTTTTTTTTTCTTGCTGTAGGGAGACTATATAAGATCAAACATGGCTTCCAAATATATGCACTCATAGGGTTATTTACAAATGTGATAATTAAAAAGTTAATTTCAAGGTTTTTTTTTTTTTAATTCTTTATTTTAGTTGTGCATATGATTATAACAGTCGCTTGTGAGGTACCCTAAAGGCAGTCCTCTAGCACGTGATAAACAGTTTAAACATTGGGGTAGATGTTGTATCTAGCACATTTAAGTTAGTAATGTTATGAACAGTATATATTTACGTTGCTTAAGCATTTCAATACATAACCCGAAACAACATCGCTTGTATCTTTCTGGATAGTAGTTTTTACGCTATGCCATATGCTAGTCAAACATAAAATAATTATACTAAACTTACATGAGTAAGATTAAAGTAACACTTTGCTTCTTTGGTGTTTGCACAGTATATAATTAGGCGTTTGCAGGCTATAATCACAGAAGTATTTGGTCACTGATATGTCGTTTGGGTTACCGCGGGCGTCACCTTAAGATGTGTGGGGACCGCGGGGTTGATCTGCTCGTGTTCCCCTAACCAGGTCTGGGGTCCACGTGTTTAATATGGCCGGTATATGTCGAGGCTTGTGTGCGATATAGTTTTTGCGGTGGTGTACTTTTGCCTGGAGTTGTGCCGTGGAATGTGTGTGCAGATTGCTCGATGGTCTGATTATGCTGGGTTGTCAGGTATGTCAGGGCGCATGTGGGTCCATAAGTACCATCTGTGTCCATGTGTACAGGGTCGGAGCAACGTTTATAATGTCCACTGTAAAGTCCAGAGAGCGTACAGAGTTGGCCAGTACCTAATCTTGGTAGAGGGCACTTGGGGCCACTGGGGACCCGGCAGCTGTTTTCTATTAAGCTCTCCTCAGAGCCCTGGTTAGTCCTGTGGGCCTGCTTCTGCAGCTCATAGTTTCGGGTGCTTCCGATGTTGGCCGCGGTTGTGCAGGTGCTGTCGGGGGTCTCTATATGGGGTATCCCCCTGTGTTCTCGCGTCCCCGTTGCTTTGTAGTGATGTTCATGGCTGGAGCTCCTGAGCGGGTTCGTCGTGTGAGGTCGCGTGTTCCATGCTGCATAGGTGCCCTGGGGGTTTCTTCTCCTTTCCTGCCTTTTGTCTGTCCTGTCGTGGTCCCCTGCCGGTGCTTGTGGCTGCTTAGGGTGGTTTGCTGGCCTGTCTCGGGGGTCTGTGCGGTCTGCAGGTTGGCTCTGCCATCTGGGGAACCCTGCAGTACGAGGGTTGCGGACTATCCGCCATCTTGGAATGCACCTTCTGGGCTGTGTGTTGCGGGCCGGTTCGCATTTTGGCTCGGTAGACAGCTTTGTGGGACGCCCCCAGGCCATGGTCGGGTTACTCCTGTGCCGTATCGTGGCATGAGTGGTATCGCCGTGTGTGCTGCTGTCTTGTGGGCAGTTTGAATGCCAAATTGGGAATCTTTCTGCTTGTGGCACGGAGTTGGCTCCAATTCTTTGGCCCAGATCCTGGAGCTCAGAGGAGACACGTCTGATCTGTTCAGCGGCCCGGCTCCGCCCCCGTTAATTTCAAGTTTAAAGGACCACTCTTAATGAAGTGGTCTGGGTGCCTGGTCCCTCTAGGGTTAACCCATTTTTTTATAAACATAGCAGTTTCAGAGAAACTGCTATCTTCACAAATGGGATAATCCTTCCTCCAATTCCTCTAGCGGCTGTCTCATTGACAGCCGCTAGAGGCGCTTGCGTGATTCTCACTGTGAAAATCAGTGAGAGCACGCAAGCGTCCATAGGAAAGCATTGTAAATGCTTTCCTATGCGACAGGCTGAATGCGCGCGCAGCTCTTGCCGCGCGTGTGCTTTCAGCCGAAAGGGAGGAACGGAGGAGGAGAGCTCCCCGCCCAGCACTGGAAAAAGGTACGTTTTTACCCCTTTCCTCTCCCCAGAACCGGGTGGGAGGGGGACCCTGAGGGTGGGGGCACCCTCAGGGCACTATAGTGCCAGGAAAACAAGTGTGTTTTCCTGGTACTATAGTGGTCCTTTAATGCCAGACTAACCAACCTGAAAACATGGCTGACTTTTATTTTGTCTTGAGTAGTTTTCTTAGTTGTGAAATGGTATTGCACAATAGTTAATATGGTTTTTATGAAAATGGATGCAAGGTTTGTGTGTATTGGTTGTTTTTGTTCATTTCTAAAATTCCTGATGTTTAAACGCTGTCATTCCAAAACTCTCATCAGAAGCATATGCTGCTTTAAAATTATCCAATGCTCCATTATGTATATCTTGGTACTGTCATGAACAAACTAAAGGTACAGCTGTTCAGATAACAATTTTTAGAACTAGAACAACTTAAAGCAGAGAGTATAAGTAAGGTTGCTTGCTTTATTGCAATCTTACCAAGATAGTGTTTTTTTTTTTTTTTTTCTTCAATTCCATTTAGTCTAAATTGTTCACATCACTTTGGCTCAAACTTCTATTGTATGTTTTACGTAATTGCTTCTGAACATTATATACGTTTTAAACAAGTCCCATGCACAAGAACAAGATAATTGTGTAGGTACAATTGTACCTGTGCTGCTTTTATTTTTTTAATTTTTTTTTAAATATATGTTCTGTTGATTTTAAAAAAGCTGCTAACTAGGTCCACACCTGGTTAATTATCATACTTCTTAAAATGTATATTTTTTTCAGTACTTTGAAATAAACCTAAACTGACCTATCAACAAAACTTAATTGTGACCAATAGAAATATATAAACGACTTAAATAATATATACAAAGTTTTCAACTGACAAGATATTTTTGATAAGTGATCTATACATAAAGTACATGTATTTTGTTGATGGGGTAGGAATATACAAAATAGCTTACAATAAAACACATCACGTCAGGTTATTAAAAAAATAAAATAAAAAATCTTGTATGCCATGGAACTGTTTCTACTTCTACAGATATATTTATTAATAGAACAATAACACAACTTTACTTTACCAGGCAAGTAGCTGTGACTTTATTCCTTACCTTTTATGATATGGACATTTGTAAAAGGGAAAAAAACACAAAAATAAAGTTCCTGCAATGCAAAAAATTGACGTAACTTACAATGAAGCTAAAATGTGTGAACAGGTTGATCTGGCAACATGTCTACATTGAGCTGGGTAAATGTTTTGCCTTTAGGTTATGTTGTGCTCTTTGACTCAAGGGATTTATTTGATGGAGTGGTATAACACAGTTGTGATTCATCTTTTAACCAATTATATTTTTAAGTTGTCTTCTATATTTTGTTGTAGATGTTTTAGATTTTTCCTACATAAGGAATTTGGTGGTAGATGTTACTTGCTAATAATTAAGGCAATATCCACTGCACATTGAAAGGAGACAAGCAACTTATTTTGTCATGTTTGTGGTAACATTTAGTGATGTCCCGAACGGTTCGCCGCGGACTCATCATTCCAGCCAATCAGCAGCAGACCCTCCCTCCCAGACCCTTCCACCTCCTGGACAGCATCCATTTTGAAGCTGCATTCTTAGTGAACTGTCCAGGAGATGGGAGGATCTGGGAGGGAGGGTCTGCTGCTGATTGGCTGGAATGATGAGTCCGCGGCGAACCGTTCGGGACATCACTAGGTAACATCACAATTAAGAAGTGGTAACAAATGCAGAAGATATAATTTTGTGAAGGAACAAAAGAGTTGACAAAACATTTACTTGCAGCTATAATAGGTTAAAATACAAAACAACCACCTGCAACAGCTGTTCATTCCTGTCCCCAGTCACTTTCTTACAGAATAAGAAAAAGCTGATACTAGGAAAGACACAGGTGTGCACTGACCATTTATGCCTTTAACCCTTGTGGCTAGGTTTCAACAAGATATTTGCTAGTTTCCTTGCTTATAAAGATGAATCTATTAGAATAGGTTGTTTGGTCATTGTTTACCCTATTGGCTATGAATTGGAATACAACAAGCTATTACTGGAAACCAGTAGGTGTATAGGCGCTTCTAGGTATAAAGTAGTGGGTGAACGTGCAAACAAGGTGTTTTCCTTTTCACCTTAAAACATAAATAAGTAGACGAAAATATAAGTTAAACCACTATTTATATGCACAACACCCTGTTTTAAAATTGAAGGAAAAATGTACATATATACTTAACAGTATTGGACACAATGTTTAATAAAATGAGTATTAATTCTAAAAAAGATAAATAATAAAAAAAAATACATAGCGTAACCTATTACAATACAATGTAAAGTGAGTAAATGTATGGTTGAACTCACAAATATGGAGCCATGCCAGGCTCTGTTAACAGCCTCAAGGTGCCAGTACTGGCTGCGGTAGATGTCCACAGGTAAGGCAAGCAAGTGAAGCTTGCCTTACCGTAGCATGTACAAAAACAATTTATTAAAGAATATAAAATCAGGACATTAGTAAAAACAGTGTGTAACGACAAGTATATACGCTACTGCACAAAGTCCTTGTAAATACAGCATAAAAATACAGCATACGGGTTTCGACATAAGTCTTGCTCAGTGGCACTGAGGAAGACTTTTATGTCGAAACGCTTATGCCGTAATTTTTATGTTGTATTTACAAGGACACCTATAAGCTTAACCCTTGCAATCAAGGTAAATTCTTTCACAATCCCCTCTTTTGCTTCATGGGTCACCCAAATGTCCAAGGTATTTCCAGTCCTGCTAGCCAGAGTCTGGGGGATTTTCATTATTTCTTCACCATGGTTCCCTTGGACTGAGAGACCACCAGTATCAGCTGAGGAGAGTTCCTTCATTTGTTAGGTGAGGTAACATCATAAAAACTTCCCGAAGTCGGAGCTGGAAGGTAAGTTAAGGTACCTCCAACAATAGATTTGTTTTTACATATAGAGGTTAGTAGACATGAGAAGAACTTAAAGGTTAGAAACATGGCCATAATAATAACTAATAGCAAAAAGTAAATTTTCTTAATTAGCAAAGTCAACCATGCTCGTAGCCCAAATGTCCAATCCCAATCCCCAGAGAAGGCCGTATCCTGTTTGATATCCTGTACGAAGTCATGTAATTTATATGTTTATGTATCATAGTGCTGTGGTCAGATAGGTTAAAACCGCACATATCTTCAATAGCTTCACAACCTAAGTCATGTTTCATTAGTAAGTAGTCAATTGCTGCTCTATTTTAAAGGATTGCCTCCTTATTTGCCTGGGTGTCCATACGTAGCTCTTCTAGGGGCAGGGAAGTTACATTTAAACCCTTTGCAAGGGAACAGGCTACAGCATTAATTACTCGGTTATTATACAGTGCAAAGCCTGGGACTCCTACCTTAGAATACGCAAGGGCAGAGTTTTCGGATTTAGATAAAAGTGATTTCAGGGTTACAATCTGAAGAAAGGGTGTTTTTGACATTTCTCCTGCCTCTGTCAGGTCAGATTTGGAAAACATGGTCATGGTTAGGCGTGATATCCTGTAATGTTACCTGGGACATAAGCATAAGTAATATTTCCACAGGAGAAAGACGTGGTGGTGGCAACTCTAACTTGGTAAGTTCTGGTACATTTTTATATTGTTGCTAAGGGCTCTACAATTCGTGGTATTTTTCCATCATGTGGGGCAAAATATGGATTTAGTCTTAGGGTCTCTTGAACAGTTACATGGAAAAAGACCAACATAGTTCAGCGGCTGTCACATTAATTGTCTTCAGGGCTAGGGGGGCTTGCCTACCAGTGGGGTGAAAGCATAAGAATGTAGTTGTAGAGATTTATGGGGTCTATGGGTATGTAGGTACTTCTGGGCCCCCGGGCAAAAAAAAATCAAGGGCCCCCTTACAGGCCCCACCCGTGCACCACAGCAAGCCCCACCCTTGTCCCGCCTCCAGCCACACCCTACACAATCTTTAGACACAAGGAACAAAAGTACAATAAGTTCTAAACAAGTGCAATATAATAAATGCAAAATAAACAACAATAATCCCCTCAAGACCCCTGTAGAGACTACAATTGAGGGCTAATGGGCCATGGAGGGGGGTCTTTCTAGCAGAGGCTATCTCCGTGTCCTTTAGAGAGTGTGTTAGAAAGAATCTCCTCCAGGCCCCATTAGAGACTACAATGGAGTCTAATGGGGCCTGGAGGGGGTCTCTCCAACACTCTGGTTCCTTTTCACCATATAGCAACACAACATAGCTCGCTGATACCTAGGCCAAGTTGGCTCCTCTTACCTTAATTACTGTTGCTGGCTGGCAGTCTGTGGCCTTTCTGGCTGGCTGTGGCTTGCTGGCTATGGCTGGCAGGCTGTGGGCTTGCTGGATGTAAGCCTGTGGCTTGCTGTAGGCATGTGGCTGGCTGGTGGTCTGTGGGCTGGCTAACTGGTGGCCTGTGGGCT